CATTTAAAATTCCCTTCTCTCTTTACAAAACACCCACTGACAAAGATGAAAGATGTCCTCCACTTGCCATATATTCACTGGCAGCCACCAGTCTTGGGAACCCATGGAGATTGCACCTTTGGTGGGTTACTGGCTACCACCACAGCTTCCTGTGTGGCTGAGGAGTCTGATGCATGACAAGCAGACCCCCTGGTAAGTTGCACATACAAACATGGTTGAGCTTGTGCCAGCCTGCAGAGTACCGTTTTGTCTTGCCTGCCTCTGACACCTTTTCTCTATCTTATCGTTGGCACTCTCCATCTCAAAGCAACATAGGCCCTGCTTCATGGTGGCTTGTTTTCCATTTGCAGTGGTCCCAAATGACTGATTCCCAGCATTGGCCATCAATTCGCAGCTCACAAAGGTTTTTCTTGCAGACATCAACAAAACAGAGTTTGGGTCTTCCAAGTTGATGTTTGCCAATGGCCAGCTCACTGTAGAGTACGTCCGTGGGGATTTGGCCTTTGCTCAACTCACATGTCCTAATCAATGGAGGTGTCTCTGTCTCAGGAGCACAAACATACTGGGCATCTGGGCCCATTCCAGAACAGCAAAGTTGGAGATTTTGTCACGCCATGTTATGCCCAGGATACAGCAGTCACAACTATTCAGTTTTCTTTGTACCTTGGCCTAAGGAGACCATGGTCTCACTGCTGTACAATAGAGAGCTAAGTATGCAAGCACTGTAAATGGACACACCTTTGTCAACAGAGTGAGTGCTCTGTTTTTCCAAACTCTCTTTTGAAGTTTAACCAGGGCACTGCTTGCCTTCCCAATGTGAGCATTAATTGTGACTTCCAAGCCAAGGTTTTGCAAGATGGTGGAGCCCAAGTAAGTGAAATTTTCAACCACTTCCAGGCTTTCATTATTTATTCTAACTTCAGGAGGGTGGTTAAGTTCTTGACCCATTACTACTGTCTTCTTTAGGCTAATGGTCAGATCAAAATCATCACAAGCAGAAGAAAAGTGACCCATGAGACTTTGCAGTCTTGCCTCTGAATGCTTAACATTTGCTGTGCCATCAGCAAAGAGCATTTCATGGACAAGAACTTCTCAGGTTTTCGTTTTGAGATGAGTGAGGTCAAAGAGTTTCCCACTGGATCTGGTCTGAAGGTATAACTCCTTCTGAACAGCTACTGAATGCAGATGAATCCCAAAAAGCGTCAGAGCTAGGACACAGCCCTGTTTGACACCACTCTTGATTTCAAATTCTTCTGAACATGACCCATCAAACTTTACCATTCCATACATGGTGGACTTGATGCTCAGAGGCTTAGGAAGGCAGCCAATCTTCTTCAGGACTCAGAACAAACTATCTCTGCTGACAAGATCAAAAGCTTTGGTGAGATCAACAAATACTATGTACAGAGATTTTCTTTGTTCACGGCACTTTTCTTGTAGCTATCTCAAAAAGAATATCATATCTGTTGTGGATCTACTGGATCTGAAACCACACTGAAACTCAGGGTAGACTCAGTCTGCAAGGGTCTGCAGTCTTAGCAGGATGACTTTGGTGAACAGCTTCCCAATGAAACAAAGTAAGGATATACCATGATAGTTATTGCAGTTGTTCATATCATCTTTGTTTTTGTACAGTGTGACCATGCTTGCATCCTTCATATCTTGAGGAAATTCACCTTCACTCCAACATATACATATTAATTCATGCAAATGGAGGAGATAGATGGATTTCCCACACTTAATAACTTCAGCCGGTATGCAATCACAGCTGGGGCTTTACCACAAGAAAGCCGATCAATGGCTTTTTCTACTTAGTCTATGGTAGGTTTGTGGTCAAGTGTGTTGAGAGTGGAGTTATGGACCACATTTTCATGAGAGCAGAGTCCTGAGTAATGTTCAACCCATCAATTGAACTCATCTGCTTATTGCAGTCATTGATGGCTTCACCTGTGGAGGATTTTAAAGGAGCAGTCTTTCTCAGAACTGGTCTGAGAGTTTTCCCGATGCCCCCATACATTGCATGCATGTCTCTTCGGTCACATCTCATTGTATGTCTGACCTTTTGGTGGATCTCTTGAAGCGCCTGCAAGTTGGTGTGGCTAGGGTCATGCTTACATTTAAGAAGAGCTGACCAGTTCTGTGAGTAGGATCATTTCAGATGAGTTCTCCTCGAACCAGTCATTTGAGCTGTGATGCAAGGTACCACAAGAGTCCAATGCAGTTTGACAGATGGCTCCTTTGAGCTGAACCCATTTCTTCTCAGCAGTATTACATGGCTTAAGAAATGATAGAACCCTGGAGAGAGTTTTGATGAATTGAGATGATGTGTCTTTAGCTTTCAGTCTCATGACATTGATATGTAGTAAGTAGACTTTCTTGCTCTTGTACAAGCTCACTACAGTTTTACCTGTACAAACTCACTAGAGTTTTACCTGCAAAATTAATCTGATTTTACAGATGAGGAAACAGACCGATAGATACCTATATGTTCTCAAAGCCACAGAGAGAATAAGTGTTGGCACTGAAATTACAATGCAGGTGTTTTTGATTCTCTGTCCCATAAAGAAACCATGAAACTATTCTGTATGGTAAGAAAAGAAACAGCCATCCAAAGCTGATTTTCAGAATGGTGCTGGTATTCACAGATGTAGCTGGGCCTCTTCTTAGCCTCTGAGGACAGGCCTAGAAGACACTTTCTCTCCTAAAATATCTCTAGAATTTAACCAGATTCCAAGGTTTATGCCACAACTAGATGCAACTGAGAAGAGGTACAACAGGACAGGACTAACATCTATTGGCAACAGCCTCAGTTTAAAGCATGCAGAGTTCTGTGAGTTTATGAAATCTATCCCCATCTTCCTATATTTTATATGGTGCTTTTAATTACCTGCAAATTTGGAAACCATAAAATTAACTCCATTTTCCAAGTTGCTCAAAAGCATATTAAACCAATCTGGCATTGAACCTTGTAGGATCCCTTCTTGGTCTGCCTCTCCCCAGTTTGTAATTTCATCACAACATAGGTATATAGTTACAGAAGGCCTGAAAAGGCTACCATGATCATTCAGTCTGACCTCCTGTGTAACATAGACTACCAAATATAATCTGTAGTTCATTCAATGGAGGAAATTTGTCTGTCTTACTACATAAAATAACACTAAGCACCAAATAAAGTTCTTGTGGCTTTAAAGGGCTGAATAAGGGCATCTCTTACAGCATAAATCTAGCACCACAATACAGTAACTCACAATATTTCATGTGCACAGGGGGCCAAGTTACAATTGTTGCAGGAAACACATTGTCGCGGGGCACCTCGCTGCCCCGCTCCTAGAGAGGGGAAACCTGCCAGAGGAAAAGCTCTGGCAGTGCATAAGGAGCCCTAGCAGCAATTAGGGAGTACAGCTGTGGGTTGCCAGGGGAACTAATGAGAGTCAGCTGCCTGTAGGAGGCAGGGCCTGGCCTTTATAAAGCCCGGGGCTGAAGCCAGGCTGGCAGTTCCCTGCCAGCAGTCAGAGAGGCAGAAGCTCCTGGAGCTGAGATGCGAGAACTGCTCGAGCAGAGTAAAGGATGGCGGCTCCGGGAGATTGGAGCAATGTTGTTATAGCCAGGTGGCCTTAAGTTGTAGCCAGGAGGCTTGTGGTTTTGTTGTTGTCGTTTATTATACCGGTGGCTAGGGTGAGGCTATAAGGGGTTGGAGGAGGCCTCATAGAGACCCCCAGAGGGGTGGGGGCCCCAGCGCCAGAGCAGGCGCAGCATACTCAGGGGGAACCCCCAGTGGTATGGGGACCCCGGCGCCAGTAAGGGCGCAGTATCCTTAAAGGGGCCTCACAGCAGAGTGTGAGGACCCCGGCGCCCAGCGTGGGCACAGCGAGCCCCAGAGAGGGGGCAGTATTATTAGGAAGCCCAGCGTGGGCACAGCAGCCCCAGAGGGGCAGTATTATTAGGAAGCCCCAGGGCGGGCGCGGCGAACCCTGAGGAAGGCCTAGTGCTGCAATAAACCCTGGAGAAGGGCGGTGTACTGCGGTGAACCCTGAGAGAGAGGGGGTAGTGGTGCGGTGAGCCCGGGAGAGCGGGGGTAGCAGCGCGGTTGGGCCTGAGAAACGAGTGGCTCATCGAGAAGTCCCCAGAGGGGGCGCAGAAGTCCCCAGGAAAGGGAGCGACATTGCAGGGAAGGCCCCAGAGAGGGGCAACATTACAGGGAGGCCCTGAGTGGGCTCGGAGAGCCCAAGGAAGGGCAGCACAACAGAGGAGGCCCGAGAGACGGGTAGTGTACATATAGAGTGACAATCCAACGTCTATCCCATCTGCGAGGCTTGGGGCATGGTATTAGGGGTTGGTAGGAGCCACGCGTAGCCCATAAGGCTAGGGTGCCTGGGAAGCACCCATCATACAGGGAGACCCCCGGTGGGTCCGGGAAAACACGGAGACAGAGGTCCCAGCTAACCGTGCCCAAGGAGACGTGAGGCAGCCTCCCAACTTAACCTAACATCAAAGATGTGGCGGGCGAGAATCTGAGGGTGCCCTTGGGCTGACTTGGCACGGAGAGGGGGGCTTAAGGAGATCATGGCCCTCCTGGAGGCCGCCGCCGTGACACACATGTTTATAAACATACATTTATATTTCCTGACTTTTCTACATGCAACTTCTTAGCCACAATACTGCACTCATCATATTCTTGCATTAAACACCATATTCTTGCAATAAAACAGTGATCCAGTTTTACATATCACTATGTGGACACCCCTAAAACTAACAGCGGGTAATAATGGAATCTCTCTGCTGTTAACTAAACCACCTACTGACTGGCACTGACTTCCATCATCTTCTTGTGGCTTGGTTAATACAACAGCTGCTCTTTGAATAACGGTTAAAGTGTACTTTACCCAGTGAGAGGACCACAAACAGCTGAAACATCTTTAGGAACACCCAGTCTTAGGAATAAGGGGGTGGAAGGAGGGAAGTCATACAGGGAGGATGGTAAGCGAAGCAGTAAATTCTACCGTGAAGCTGTTGTTGACATTCTTAGTGCTTGATTCTGCCACACTAGCATCTGTCAGGTCCACCTCATCAAATATAATTGACTGGAAAAAACATAAAATATAAAACACTGGGTCAGGTGAGTAAGACACATAGCCACTGAGAGTTGCATCCAAATGCCAGCCTTTAGCTTTCCCTTCTAGAAAATACCGCATGGTCTACTTCACTAGATGTCTTTTTTTTTTTTTTGTAGGTTTAGTGTTTGTGAAAGCAGCCAGACCAAAGGCCCTGAAGACTGGCCTTTCTTATCAAGAGATTTCATAACATGGATGACAGGTCAGATCCATTAGGGCAAATGCTAGGCTGCCCAAATCCTTTTATTCATTCATGTCCTCTCCTTTGTTTCATTTTTAATAAAGACAGAATCCTGTCTTTAGGACAAAGAGTTCAGTAGAGGATGTAGAGGAAGGTATGATCCCCAGCATCACTGGTGGATTCCTGTGTGACTGTCATGTTTTAAGCACAAAAGAACAAGGAATTTCAAACTGAGGCACAGGAAACAGAGTTTTCAACTGTGACAAAACTTAGAGACAGACACTTCCAGGTGCAGCTGCTCTATCCTAGACTGAGGACTCACTACTTGTATAGATCCACATGCCTCCATCATTCCATCCCATCTTGCTACCTCCTACAAACTGCATCTCACCTTTGCAGTTTTTGCATAGTAGAGCGTCCGTCCTCGCAGTTTGAAGTATCGCCTCTTCCAGCGCTGGAATGAGCTGGTCTGTTTCATTAGCATCCCCTCTTTTATAACAGTCTAGGAACCAAGAGAAAAAAACACAAGGTGAAACTTTGTTTACTAGCAACTTTTTTGCCCCTTTCACAACACACATACCGCAAGAGGATGCAAAAGAGGAAAGCTCAGTTTGATAATAATATTCCTAGTGCCCCCTCCTGGAAATACATTACACATGCATTTATTTAAGCAGGTCTTTTATCAACAGCTGATTGTGAGAGAAAGCATTGTTCATCTGGGGATGCAATTCTGGCCCTGTCTGTTGATAGTCAAATTTTGACAGAAGCACAGATCCAAGGTCTATTCTGGTGATCGTCTCAAGGCTTCACTGTGATACAGAATGTGGAATAGTCACAATCCCTGAGATCAAACCCCAGCTGGAGCTCTGATTTCAGCAGAGTTTGACTATATACATATATGCCACAAGCCCCATCCAATCCTGTTCTGTTAAGCTATCAGCGTTCGACTAGCACAGGAGGCAACCTAAAGGCCTACAGGAGAGGGAAACAAGAGCAAGGCAGGAACAGTCTCCAGCTTCAGTGTTTGGTATTTTTCAGATATTCTTGGCCTTGCTGCAGCACTCTTTGGCTGGCTGCCGTTTCCCAGGGCTGAAGTGCCAAAACTGTCTCTGCACATAGCCCTCAGGTTTTTTTCACCACTCCATAGCTAGACTGACATAGAAGCACAGAAACACCACCCATTCACTCACATATTTTGCATATGTAGAGTACACAGACATATTTAGTCCACATTTGTTTCATCTCACTTCATCAGACACATTCATTTCCCCAACTGAGGGCAGACACCGGATACCAAAAGCTAAACTAAAATAAGCTCAATGTTGTGTCTTAAAAATACAGAAAAATCAGAGTTAAGTTTTCAGCCTGAACTCACTGATTGTGCAAGGTCAATGCCTGTGTCCCAAAATGGCAGGCAGACACGGTTTCTCAATGCCCCAGGGTACCCTCTCCCCTCACTAAAAGAAATATAACCTGCAGTAAGTCACCCACCAGCGACAGAGTCCAGTCCATTAACATACTGTTAAGACACAAAGAACAAATGCCCTGATAATCCTATGACAGGCTAGAAAAAAGATGGATTTAATACACCAGAGCTCTCTATGCAAGACACAGATTCAAAATGGAATACAGTCAACTAATAGCTAACAATTAAGAAATAAGCCCATAATCCTTTCTGCACATCCACTAATCAGCTGCGGTATTCATGTCAAGCCTAGCAGAATGCTATTGGGAATATGCCCCTTATTGATCCATAGCTTTCATATTTCTCTACCAATCCTTTCAAGGATCCTGAAACTGCTTTTTACAGCGCTCCATGTGTAGTGTTAATTTGTTCTGTTCGTCCTCATTTTACAAAACAGCTACAGACTGTAATACTTTCCACATGCTGGCTTTTGCCAAGTTCGAAGTCAAAGTTTCCTCAAAAACTGCTTGGAAAGCAAGTGCTGAGTACAGTATAAGAAGAAACATCCATGTGACCCAGTACATGTTTCCCTATCACTAGGTCAAGCTAACCCCAAACCAGACAGAGACCCACAATTGCAATCCTAACACTCTTTATGAAAGCTCAATGGGAAAAGAGTAGGTTCCTGAATATTGCTTCATCAGACTTGTAGTGAAAGAAGAGGGGATGGAGGCAAACCTCTCTGGGCTGCTGGGCTGGAGATACAGAGAAAAGTGATAACTTGCTAGTGAGCTCACTAATACCTCCAGACAACAACAGAGAAGACAGAAGATGGGTCTGCTATCACTAAGCCCTTGTAAACTGCCACCTCCAACTAGGCCACTCCAGTCCTTCCACGTGCATCAGCTGGATCCACTGAGATAGATAAGCATAACTATGCTCTACCAGAAGTCCACTCTCAACTACCCCCACACCAACAGAGTCAAGCCTGTACTCTCCAGTACTCCTCCTCAGCAAGCAGGGCCTGACCAACACCTCTCTTCCGTACCACCTTGCTGGTTGAAACAGCAGGCAACTCCTTGCCAGGGCCAGCTTTCATGCTTTCATGTCATAGTGCTTTCAGGAACACAAAAAAGCAACTGCAAATTGTAAGATTAAAGCCAGAGCCCTAACGGATGACGAGTCTACTTCCCTCCCAGCTCCCCACATCCTTAAAAGGGAGCTTTAAAAGGCACTCTGGAAATCTATTTTTCCTATGTCCCAGTAGGGGCATAAGCACAAGATCAGAAGATCAGGATAATTAGAAACCTCATGGCAGTTGAGGAGCCCTGTTCCTCCTCATCAGCTCAGCACAGTGCAGAAACACGCAGAAATATGACCCACACCCTGCCGTGCAGCAAGCCTGTGATCAACTGGTGATGGTGGTGTGAAGCTGGAAGCTGGAATATCTGCAATCAGTCTGCAGCATCTCCACCTTGCACAATTAGCAGCCAGAGCAAGGTGAAGGCAGTCACTTGGGAGATCTGGATGCAATATCTTGTTCTGTCTCACACTCCCTAGACAAGTCACTTAGTCCCTCTGGGCCTCAGTTTTATCTGCAAAACAGGGATAATAAATGCTTCCTTACTTTTCAGGGGCATTGTGGAGATATATACATGTAAGATAAGGGGCTCAGACATGGAGATCATAATGCACCAAAGCTAGAAATTGAGGTGGTCATTTGACTGACTTTGCAAGAAATCCCCTGCTGTCCATCGTGGCCAGAAGGACAGTGGTTAGGAGAATAGGCACCAAGCGAGGAGGAAAAATCCATGAGATTCTGACAGAAACCAAGAGGGGAAAAAACTGGACACTAAACAATGCCACACACTGACTTTGACATCTGGGAGAGAATGGGCCCCTGGATGCAGAGCCCCCAAATAACACTGCTTGCTCTCAAGCAAGGGGCCTAATTGAAGAATGCCAGAGCAGACCAAAACACCCAAGAAGGTTATTTCAAGGCCCTCTTCTGTTCCAAGAAATATTTATTCTGGGGTCAGCTGAGCCCTACTCTCCCCAGGCACAGGCAGCAGTTCTGGCTGGCTCAAACCCTTCCCCAGCCCGCCATAACAGCGCAAGCGACTTTGTCACAGAATGGCACCTCTGCTTTTTCTCACAGCTCCTGCCATTTGGGTCAGCTCACTCCTGTTGCTTTTGGGATCGCTTTTCCCAGTCAGCTCAGGGTGCTCCCTCAGTTCTGCAGGGTCACTCACCTCTGCAGGAGACGTGCCTTCCTCCATCTCCTCCTTAATATAAAGCTGCTTAAAAAAAAAAAAAAAAAAAAAAAAAAGGAAACACAACCCGACACGCTGGTCACCTCACCCCTCCCGGAAGGAGCAGTTTATGTCACTTGCCAGTGACTATCTATAGAAAACCTCACCACTACATAACTGAAACATGAAAGGCCCTGCGCAGCTCTCATACTCTCTCTCACACACCCTGCCCAGAAAGAATGAGCCTCTGGTTTCGAGCAGCCCATCTCTGCACGAGAGCTGCTGTTCTATTTATAGGACAGTATGAAGCTCAGTCAAGAGTCTAGTGGGTTTGGGCGGAAAGGACTGGAGATAAGATCAAGATGACTTTATAGAACTCTTCTGACATTGCTGCTTTTCTTCTCCTCCTTTTTTATTTTACAACCAATGGACCTGGGGAAGCATCTATTCACCAAGGGGGAGGGCAAAAAATAATGGGCACAAAGTGATCAAAGATCGCTTCAGGTGCAACATAAGGAAAAACTTCCTTACAAGTTGAGTGCTGAGGGTTTGGAACAGGCTCCCCCTAGAGGTGGTACAGTCACCCACCCTGGTGATTTACAAGAGGCGTCTTGACAGCCATCTTGCTGGGGTTGTTTGATCCCAGCAGTCTTTCCTGCCCAAGTGCAGGGGGACTGGACCTGATGATCTGTAAGGTTCCTTCCTACCCCTAACAACTATGAAACTATGACTCTTCCCCCTCTTCACTGACAGGAGAATGCCAGTAAGTGCAGCTTACTGGGAACAGGGCCAGGCACGTAACTGACATCTAATGGAGAGAAAAACGGAAATCAAAGCAACTCTTTCTTCTCCCCCCAAACTTTTCTAAATACTGACCAGCCTACTGGTCATTCAGTCGTGACTGACAACCATTGCTTCAGAGTAAAGCAAAAGCTCCTTGTTTATGGATAAAAAGGACTCTAGTCCCATTCCATTTGTTATGAGGATTCCTTCCTGGCCACTGTGGCAATCAACTGATGCCCTGAAACAACAGGAGCGTTGATTACTTGAATCCTGTTGAGAATAACTACAAATGTTATTGTTGGTCCTAAAATGATCAAGGCTCTGTTTTCAATCCAGCTCCGTTATTTGACTCTTTGACATACTGCAGCGAGGCATTCCATTTGGCTGGCTGCACAGTGTGAAGAACAAAGTATTCCCTCAGATTTAGTTGATGTTGACTTGCTGTTACGTTCATCAGTAACCCCTTGTTATCTTATTAAGAAGCGGCATAAAAAGTCTGCTGGAACAGATTGACAGTTTAAGATAACAAGTCACAAAGCAGAAAGTATCAAATACTAGGACAAAAGATCCAATCAGACGGCCAGAAGGCAGGGTCCTAGTAGCCTTTCACTAGGTACCTTTGGATTTGGCCAGATCTGATTTCAAGGGTGAATTTCTTGCAGAAAACATCCATTTACTAGCAAACTGTTTGAAACAGAAAGGAAATAATATGTTTCTAATTTGATTAAGGAGCAGTTGCTTTGAAAAGAGAAGAGTTAAGGCAGCCAGCAAAGCTTTGTCCC